TTCAAGTACCGGTGTTCCACCCGCTTTCAGAAGCTCCACTGTAATTCCATCCTCGCCTGGGGCCCTGCCGTTTTTAAGGTGCTGGAGAGCCATTCTAATCTCACTCAGACTGACGTCCGGGATATCATCGGAATAGTGTCGGGTAAGAATTGCTCTTGGATCGTTACTCACATTTGCTTGTGGCTCTAACGATGATGTGTACAGCTGCCCATAGAACCTCTCAATCTCACTTAAAATCTCAGGTGTCTCGGAAACGTATGCTGCCACACTCAGTCTTCAGCTTTGACAGTTGGCTCTTTCTGGCAGACAGATCTCTGGCGAAGACTTTGGAGCCCTGGTTCCGCTCGATCGCTTCTTTAATACGAGCAGTATTAAAGTTGCGTAAGTCTCGCCGCATGCATTTGGAGATCTGTCTGTTCAGTTGCCTGTATGCTGTCAAATCTGTTGACGATTGCAGCCTCATCTCCCGTCTAACAGCCATGAGATTAAGAGTTTGATCGGAGAGTTTTTGTGTTCTTCTGCGGCAGGTCTTGCAGAACTTAGCTCCGACCGCATGGACAGTTTCCACGAGCTTGTCATTCATATCGTCCACTGCATTGTAATCTTATAGGCACTGAAAGCGGTTACGTAACTCGAGCTGAAAAGATTCGGGATTCTGGATTAGAGCACGAGGGGACGGAGCGTTGACTTCATTAGACGAGACCTCTCCAACTTAACGTTTAGGTTCAGTGTGCCTCTAACCATTCGGTGATCGCTGCCAGTTTTCACCCTTGCGATCACTGAGACATCACTGAACAGTTGGCGTCTGGTCGTCATAATGAAGTCAATCTCACTTTTTGTCGAACCGTCGGGGCTCGACCAGGTCCACTTCCTGTGGGGCCGCTTCTGGAAGAAAGAGTTCATCATAAAGAGTCCCTCTTTCTCCATAAAGTCAGCCAGCTGCTGGCCCCTACGGTTCCGTTGCCCTACTCCAAAATTCCCTAACTTCAGCTCACCGCCTTCTCTTGTGCCTAGTTTTGCGTTGAAGTCTCCTATCAACACCGTGTAGTGGGTTTTGAAGGAATGCATGGCTCTAGAAATATCCTCATACATTTCCTCCACCTCCTCATCGGGATGTGCCGAGGTTGGTGCGTAGACCTGTATGACCTTCAGCAAATACCGTTTGGTGATTCTGAGTATCAGGTACGCGACCGTCGTCGATACACTCCCAATCTTTACAACGTTGTTGACGAGAGACTTGTGGACGATAAATCCGACACCTCCTTGGGACAGATGGTCGCCCTCCCGGTGATAGAACAAGTTGCCGGACTCGAGGATTACCGTGTCCTCCCACTCTCTTCGGACCTCAGATAATCCAATAATATGCCAGCGCAACTTGTCTACTTCTTCTTCCAGCTCCATTATCTTCTCGTCAGTCCTCAGGGTGCGTGCGTTATACGTTGCCAGTTCGAGTCGACCTGGCAACGTATGGAACGGCAACGGCAAAAATGGAACACAACAACTGAACCTTTAACTGTAGGAACTGTGGTTGTGCTCACCAAGGCCACTCCATTGGCCATTAGGGATCGTTGAAGAAGTTTCTCCCGGTTCCGACGGGGTAACTAGGGTAGCTCGCGTTAGGACCACGACTGGGTCTTACATGCGCCCGTTGTCCGTTTGTGCCCTTTGCCCATTCAATAGTTTGAATTAGCTTTCTAGATTAGAAATTGTAGTCGAAAATTTGGTTTAATCTTAGCGTTAGTTATTTTGAAGGAGACCCTTCAAGCCGGGGTATGGTTACGCGGAAACGATTCATGTATTTTAATTTTATTCGAGGGTATATTTGCCAAGTGTTTACCCATCCTTTGACCTAATATCCCTTCCGTACACACTGAAAAGGGAAAGGGGGAGTCTAGAAGGTGACGCGATTCTTTCGACCAATGAGAAGCGCGCCCGACCGAGGTGCATTGGAGGGAAAGTCGAGGCAATATAGGCTCGCGCGCTGCCTTCGAGCGGCCTCTTGCCACGCGCCGCTAGTCTGAACCACACCACCTGGAGCAGTCGAGCTTCAGAAGTAACCGCTTCACATAGTGTGAGATATCGTCGCGCACCGCCTCTTCCTTCGCACCACTGGCCTGGATCGCATCTCTGGGGCGCCCCAGAAGAACACACCTCACGTCGCATTACCGCAACGGAAGCGTCGTCTGCCGCATTAGAATCACACGCCGGTAAGTGTGTTTTCCCGTAATTTTGTTCCTACTTGAGATTGTGTTTATTAGTTAACCCGCCCCATTTTGTTTCTCCTAATGTGCTCATGTAGAATTCCCTCCTAATCTTGGCAAGCAATAGATTTTGGAAGAGCGAGTGCATTGTCCAAGGTGCCGCGTGCCACATCCGCCATCTTGTTGAGGCATAAGAAGCCATCGCGTATACAGTCCACCTAGTATAACATCTCGCACAATATGGTCTAGGCTCAACCTGGGAATCGAACTCAGGAACCCTTAGGCCCGCCGCCCAATCAATATATAACTTCTATTTATATCAAAAATCCATATCCAATAGCTTATCCAACGCAACGTTTAGCGTGCCTCTTTTAAATTTTTCTATGCGGTAAACAGTTTGTTTAGAATGAATGTTTATGTTTATGTAGAATGTTTAGAATAAGGGTGACAAACGAGTACACAGTCCATCTGAGGGTAAGTGAATGCCTGCCTCGATTAATTTCAGGTATACAAAAAGTACTCTGTGCTCGATTAAGAATCAAAATGCAGATGCGTCGCCCCCCCTGGAAACTAAGATGGAATGCCTCGGTTCCAGTAAAAAGGGTCTCCGGTTCTCTATACTCACCACACGAAACATAGAAGCATTGAACTGCTATTTTACGTTGTTATGCTGTGAGAGAATGTTATTTCCTCGGATCAGCCGACTCATTATTTAATTTTTTCCCTTTCCCCTTGTATATCTTTAATTTCTAATCTGATTGACATCGTATGTTATTCACGAACGAGCTTATATACGTGGTGGAGCTATGCTGCAGCTATATTATGGTTGCAGCATGAATGAGTCGGCCCGATCGTGGAAGAACCTCGCTCTCACAGAATACCAGCGTAAAATAGCAGCTTAATACTGCTGTGTTTGGTACAGTGAGTGTAGAGATACGGAGACTCTTTTTTACTGGAAACAAGGGATAGACAACGCATCTGCGTTTTGATTCTTAATCGAGGGTAAATGTCACATATATGGACCACAGCATCCTCTTACCGTCAGGTGGACTGTGTGCTAGTTTGTCACCCTTATTCTATATTTTTAAAAAAGTCTTTTAATTAGATTAATAACATGTTGCCTTCATAAATATACCGTTAAAAATTTCTTCTCAACTTAAATTTGGGATTCACCACTTTATTAAATAAATTTTGTGCTATTTTCGAAAATAAATTTTCTCATCCTTTTTTCCACTGAAACATATGAAATTTTCATAACGTCATCATTATTCTTTTTGAAGCTTTTGTCTTCAATGGGGCCTGGGGACCCTTTATATCCACGAGGCACCGGTCTAGTGCCCAAAAAGCGGATATATATATCCTCCCCCGTAGTAAAGTGTGTTACAGTGAGAGTGAAAGCGAACCCGTCGCAAATAATGAACTCCACCGCTTGAATGTGTTTTTGAAGAATATGAAATATCATTTTCATATTTACAAATACATTAAATCCTAGAAAATCGATAAAAATAGAGATACCGTATGAAATGAAGACGTGGTTTAAAGAATAAGCATCCAAGCTCAAATCTTAATAAAAAAATAGTTATTCTTATCTGTGGTTCAGTGTGACCATATGTGGCAGGTTCCTGCTATTTTGGCAGGATTGGACTCTTATTTTAGACACTAGCATTGTCGGTTGACGTTTTACAAAACCTGGCAGTATTTGGCTGGTTTGGGATATTAAAAATTGATTTCATTATGACAACCCAAAATGGAGATTCTTCGCCAGCATGTGGGGGATTTCCCTGTACTTCTCGTATGATGTTTGTATAACATGCAATAAACCTTTAAAAGTTTGTTTGTAAAGTTGATATCTTTAAAACATGTATTCATAAACACGAGCTTGTGGTTAATATTTCAATCAATCATAGAAGAACGTACTTTAGTTTAGGTATCGTATTAGATTTCACGGTGATAATACATTGTTAGCGATACCTTGTTAATAATATTTCGTGGGCGATAGTAATTATTGATGGTGGTGATAAAGTGAAAATATGATAGGGCGTATAGAGCGGAGTGAGTGCAAGTACTATCGTCGTGGATCTCCAAAGCAATAATTGATCCAGACGTGGCCTTTTATGGAGCCTATAACTGCAAATTGGTATCTCGTTTTCCGCTTTAAAGGCGCATACCTGTTACTATTAAACATCAAAAAAATATAAGTGGATTCAGTGGGCAGTCTTCGGTAAGTTTAATAAACTAAACAAATTGTAATAAGTATATTTTTTCCAGATCGAACGTCGTATCGCAGTGCCAAGCTAAAATTTGTTTATTTATTTAATCTTACACCCACAAGAATGTGTGTTGCATTTTAAAATAAATTCACTGAATAATTTCGTGAACAATTCTTTAAGAAATCTTCCTTGAAAAAAGAAATTAAAAAGGCAGAGCTAAACATATCTGGTTTTATGGTGGAATACAATTTGCCATATTGCGTAATGAGTAGAAATGTTTAACACAATGTTAAATAAAGTTGGCAGTATTTAGGCATTTTTCACTACAGAAGTAAGGCAGGATCTGTATTATAAAGATGGTCACACTGCTGTCAGAAATTCTTGACATCAACCTGTCAGAAATTCTTTAAAGAGAAAATAATTTTTACTATTAATTATTCATAAAGGCAGGCACTCCGATAGGAGTAATAGTGCTCTGTGCATAAAGGTCGTTGGTCAACCAACAGCTCTTTTAGTATATTAATGTTAACCTTATGCAAAAGAAATCCATAAAGTGCAATAATTTCTTCAAGTCATAAAAAGATAAGACATGGAGGTAAGAAGAAAAGTTCTACATGTTAAAATAAATAAATAATTATTGAAATATACTGAAAAACATAAAATTTTTACAGATTGAGATATTGTCTACCATTGGGTCAAAATCACTTGGAAAGATTACATTAAATGAAGATGCCACTGTAAAAAATGTTAAGGAAAAAATTTATCAAAACTTGAAGAAGTCGCTGTACCCTGAAAGGCAATCAATCAAGCTAGAAGCTAAAGGGAAGTCATTAAAGGATGAAACCACTTTAAAATCTATAAATGTTCATGATGGTGCTAAGCTTTTTGTCTCAGATCTTGGACCACAAGTGTCGTACAAAAATGTATTTTTAGCTGAGTATGCCGGACCACTATTTGTTTACTTGTGGGTTTACCAAAGACCGTGGATCTTTTACGGAGAACAATCTTCAACACCTGGAACTGTTGCTAAGTAATTATCATCCAAATTTTTATTTTATGTACAACTTTCTGATTTAACTTTTAACTTTCTTAACATTATCTTCACAATAATGAATATGTGACTGTTAATGTCATTTTTGTTGTTTTGCCGTTACCTTTTAATGTGAGTGGTATTATCATAATCGGGGACCAAACCTCTACCAAATAAAACACCTTACTCCCCCAAATTCCTGCCAAACGATTCTAAATTTCAACCCTTGCCTTATAGTGCAGAGAACTGACAACTATTGGGAAAGGTAGGTTCTCAAGTAGCAGTGTCAAACCAGTAAGCAAGTGTAGGGTGGCCCACTCAATGGAGTGATGACCTAGGAAAACATGAAGGAAGTCGATGGTTGCAAGCAGTCAGAGCTGAACTTGCTTTGTGGTGTCCTTTATAGGAGGCCTATGATCAGCAGAAGGTTTGTCATGGACTGTAACAATAATGATGATAAGTGTTCTATCAATATTTTTAAACTAAATTTTATCAATTTACAATTTACAAATTATAATTGTATGAAGTAGAACACAGTCCTGTAATAAAAATTTGAGAATATGTTTAATTAATATGTATATGCATACATTATTTTTAAAACAGTACATACTACCAGTTCATTAAATTTGACTATAAATAAAAAATTATAAACATATAAAGTAGAAGCACAGTCATATAATAAAAATTAGAACATATGTGTGATCAATAAGTTTTGAGATGCTCGAAATTTAAAAATGGAATGCACCTGTGCTATAAGTTTCTAAAAAGCAAATTTGTTTAAAAATAGAACTCCATAAGCCCGCGCTCCTGCGCTTTTCATTTAAAATGATGGATCTTAACCATGAACATTGCTAGCTATGATCTATTATGATTTTAAATTTGGTTTAACCAAACAATTAAGTTTTCAGTGGTTACAATTAGCATTAGGGGACTCAGCTCCATCAGACGCAAAAATTTTTAGGTGGTTTCCTGTTTCATTTTCATTTCAATTCAAATGGGGTAAAATTAAAAATGACCAAAGAACCGAGGCCCGCAAACAGGAGTAACGGCAGAAAATATGTATGGACTACTGAAGTGTTGGTACAAGAAGACCCCAAATCACATACACATCGAAAGGATTGTAGGCATTAGTTCGGGGAGCATTCATGCCATCCTACATCAACATCTTGAAGTGAGGAAGCTTTGTTGTCGATGGATCCCTCGTTTGCTCTCTGAGAGCGAAAAACAGACTTGTGTGGATTGGTGCCATGAAATACATCTACGTTTTGAAAACGGGGCATCTGATGTATGGTAGTACAGCAGGCACACGCTCGTAACTCTCGCTCGTTTGTCGCTCATAGCTCGTAACCGTGGCCGGTTTAACTCGGTCACTGTAAGGTAGGTGCAGTACCCGAAGCTTGTCTTGCAACACTTGCATGACGTGTTGAAACTAGGCGGCCAGATGTTTTCTGTCACAGATCCTTTGTGCTCTATGAAACAAAGATTTTTCTCACAGTAGCTAACTGACAAGGATATTGGTGAGATTCACCATTAAAATATCAGTTGGTATAAGTCTTTTTCCTATACACAGTGTGACCAATAGTGTTATCAGGATTTCGGATCAATAAAACATCTAGAAAAGCTAGAGAATTATATGCCTCTAATTCCCTTGTGAATTGTATGTGTGTGAATGAATTATTAATTTGTGGTCTAAAAATGTAGTTACTTTATCAGATGGTAAAATTGTGAGAGTGTCATCTACGTACAGCTTGTAGAATCTTGGTTTTACAAGAGCAGTAAGAAGAGCTTTCTCTTCCAAAGTCCTCTATGGAATATGTTAGTAACTATAATACCATCTGCTTGCTTGTAGAACTCTTCCTTCTTGAATAAATAGTCAGATATGATGCAGTGTTTAAGTAATACGAGGGTGACACTGAAAGTTCTTAGAAAATCAAAAACTGAACAAACTAGCAAGTTATTAGTTTTTATATCTTTTCAAAATAGTGTCCATTTACATCAATATAGACATGTGTCAATCATTGATTTCTCGTGACCGAATCATTCTAGTAAATGTCGTCACGCGTACCGGTACATTCGGATCGATCACTCAAATGGATCATTTTTGGCTGCAGTACCCTAAACTAAAAACAATTCATTCAGATCATTCAGGATTCGGTCAGTTTTCGACTCATTTACAATTCACATCAACAACGAGTTTAAAAGGTTCCGTCAATTGTTTGTGATTGGTTGTACCGGAACATTCAAAACCAGATGAATGAACCATCAATACTTTTAAGTGTACCAGCTCAAACGTACGAATCATTCATGATTGACACATGTCTACATCAATACATCGCTGCATCCGATGGAACCACTGAGAAAAGCATTTTGCCCACTCGTCCTTAAGGGTCTCTTCAACGGTATTTTGAAACGCAGCCACTGCTTCCTCAACGTCCATAAAACGGTTTCCTCGAAGTTTTGCTTTTATTTTCGGAAATAAATAAAAATCGCAATAGGGCGGGTGTCCTAGTAATTCCACGTCTGACGTCGTCAAATAGTCGATTGTTTACTTGGCGGTGTGCGACGAGGCGTTGTCGTAGTGAAGGAGGATCCTACTGCGAGGTCGTTTCTCCCGGACTTTTTCTAAGACCAGTGGCAAATAATTGTTAGTGTACCACCGCAGTAACTGCTTTTCGATTCCCTAAAACAATTGTTGCGTAATGACCTGTCCTTCCGAAGAACGAAGCCACCATGTTTTTTCTCCGCGCTTCGACCTCTCTTCACTTTAGTTGGCAATTCCTCGGAAGGAAACACCCAGACAGCAGACTGTCTCTTAGTTTCAGGATCGCACAACACTAATGTGAAATTAGTGCAGATCATCAGTGAAATTAGTGCGACCATGTTTAAACTCATTAAAACAGTGGCACGAGATGGGCTATCGTGAAAGGCCAATCGAATCTATCATAACTTTCTTGTTGACTTAAATGACATCGAAAGTCATAAAAAATCATTATACGAAAATATTCTCGCGTTAAATTCATGCTGATGTGACACAGAAAATTTTCAATTTGCCGCCAAATCGTAAACAAATATCAATTTAATAAAATACATATACAATAATATTGGTAAAGAGTTCCATTTGCAAAATTTGAACTTATTTTTTATTATATTGTGTACAAGTGGCTAGTTCTAAAAATTTTCAGTGTCGCCCTCGTACTGCATATTCTGCAGGCATGTTGTTATTTTTTAGATTCCTAGTTACAATAATTGAAATGCAGTCTTCAATAATTAGGCATGTGAATAGTGACTGAACATCAAAACTGTCCATAGTTTCATTGTCAGCGAGATGCAGGTCTTTTTATCTCACTAACAAAATGGTGTGAATCTTTTGTGTGTGCTCTGGTATGTATCAGTGGTGACAGTACTTTGACAAGTGTTTTTGACAAGTGAATTGATCTGGCTTACTGTGGGACGTAGTGGAGCGTTTTGTTTGTGTATTTTCGGTAACCAATACAACGTCGGTAGTTTGGCACATGATGGTATTATCGCATTCACGTCGAGATTTAATAATTAAACAATCGAAATGTTCATATATGATTCATGGGACAGGGAAAGGGTTAATACAGTAGTAGTAATGCTTTATTAATACAGGTATATGATTCATGGGACAGGGAAAGGGTTAATACAGTAGTAGTAATGCTTTATTAATACAGGCAAAATCACTATTTCAGTAAAATGAGGAAAGTCACTTCAACATTATTCTGATATCAGTTAAAATTAAATTGTAATGGATTAGACTTCTTCTTTCCTTTGTGGTCGTTATGATGCCATTGGCCATATGAAGTTGGAACTGGCATGATGTGACAATTGAGTATAACTTTTCGGATTTATACATAGACCAACATGTTGGGAGGATTCATTTAGATTGTTCTGCATGTCCTGAATTTCTTGCAGCTTTGATGGCATGAGATGTGCTCACCGTTTACGTTAATTCTGTGTCCTTTCCAATCTAGTGTTAACACACACACTGTTTACAAAGGTAGTGGAAGATGCGTTAGTAAATATTTAAGAGGATATTACTTCCCCTTATCTCGCTTCATGATGCAACTGGATAGGTTTCATTTGACTGCACTGTACTTGGACTGACATTAAATACTGGTATGGTAAAGATATCTCAGCACCTCTATGGACAGTCAAATCAGAATAAGATGGTGTAATGTGTAAATGTAATCTAAATTGCAATATCCTCCATAAAACTGAGTCTGTCTGCAGGTTGAAAGTGTTTGAGTCTTCATGCAAGTCAATCTTGACGACCCTCAAAAACAATTGATAGGCTGTGCATATATGGTACAGAAGTGAGATTGGTCGATAATTTTTCAGCAGCCTTGTTACCTTTCTTGGGAAAGTTACGAGTTGTGAGTCAAAGAGTCTTTTCAATGTTTAAGGTCAGTTTAATCTTCTCAAGGCAGATAATGCCTGAGAGCTCCTGTGAGTCATGGTGGCTCTAGGATCATCACATTAAAGTTCGGGTTGTGGCTTGTGTGAGGTTTATAGCATACTGTCATAGTCCATCTTAGATACATACTACTACATATACTAGAGAACCATAGGCTTTGACATGATCTAGTATATAAATTTTCTTAAATTCAGTACTACTATCTTTCCACTACTTCCAAATTGGAGTAATTAGCAATAAGTATATATATATATATATATATATATATATTTATATATATCCCGTAACTTATTGTACGTCCACTATGGCCAATTTTGCATATAATGTGGCGTCAACCTGCTTACGAAGTCCAATATACGGACGTCAAATAGGAGACTTAGCGCAATGTTCGCAAATTGACATGCTGATCACAGAAATGTCAAAATCTAAAAAAAAATTGGGCGTCATTTTTCTTCCAATCTTGCTGTACTGAATATTTACGTAGTTCCGCTAACTTTCGTTGCAAAAATAATAGCGCTGCTGTCGATTTGTAAATACTTTCATTTATGGCCGTATTTGACTTCCGCCAT